GGGCTCGATCCCAGGACCCTGGGATCATGACCTGAGCCGAAGGCAGACGCTTAACGACTGAGCCGCCCAGGCCCCCCTGCCCATGTTAAATTCTAAAACCCATCTTCATATTTATCTGAAGGAAAGAAATCACCATAAAAGCTGACATGTACTGAGTGCATACCAGGTGTGAAACGTGATCTATATCACTTACTCTTCACGAGAGTGCTCTCCAAGTGCTTTACCTAGGAGAGTTTAGCATGGGACTATTTACAGAGGTGTGGGCAGAGTGGAGAGAACCAAAAGGGCTTCCTGGAGTGTCCAGCGTTTAGCAACAGCAGGAAATCATAACCACCCCTGAAAGGGCAAGGGGACAGACGAGTGTCGGCAAACCAGCCTGACCAGAGCTTTGAGACATAGAAGAGAGGCTGCCTGTCAGGAGGTAGAACTGTAGAATGAAGCCAAGCCAGCATCCCTGTGAGCCTGGGCCATAATGGCCTCAGGAGGCTGATACATACCTGACCTGTCTCTCCTCCCACCTTGGATCTCCTAACAGCATCCCACTTTGGCTGAAGTCACAGTTCAACCTTTGGACCTGGGGCTTACCATAACTGCAGAACACACCTACAGCACGGTCGGACTCAGCATCCCACTTTGGCTGAAGTCACAGTTCAACCTTTGGACCTGGGGCTTACCATAACTGCAGAACACACCTACAGCACGGTCGGACTCAGCATCCCACTTTGGCTGAGGCCAACTGGAAGGCAGAGAGCAAGGGCCCCCAGCGAAAACGGTCCACAGCTCCTTGGGGAACACAGCAAGGCAAAGAAGGGCAGAAAATGGATTGAGAGATTGGGAGAGCAGCAGAGAACAACCCACACAGTATTAGGACTCCTTTTTTCAGGTAGGGAAACTGAGGCATAGAGAAGCTAAGTCACTTGCCCAGCTGGTAAGCAAGAGGCAGGATTCTGCTAGCTTCAGATGTGTCCTGAAGGGGAAGGCCAAGCCCACAGCACATTTGCCTTTCCTGTCTGTCGGCACAGTATTCTGCACACAGTAGGCGTCTGATAAATGGTCAGTGAATGAAATCATTGGGAGAGGCATATTTTGGTGTAGGAGTAACGGTTTCCTCCTCCTTGTCATTGCAGGTTGCTGTCCCAAACCTCAGTGAGGCCGTGCAGGATGCAGACCTGCTGGTGTTTGTCATTCCCCACCAGTTCATTAACAGAATCTGTGACGAGATCACTGGGAGAGTGCCCAAGGAAGCGCTAGGAATCACCCTCATCAAGGTAACTGGCCGGTGACCCCAGGCAGAAAAAGCATCGCTGGGCTGGACGTCAGTTATGGGGGAGATTATTTCCTCTCACTTCCATCTGTTAGAAATAGGAGCGGAAAGGGAGGTTATGGCAGTTTTTTGTGTTCTGTTTTTTTTAAAGATGCCTGGAAGGTAATCAGTAACACACATCGCAGGAGCTCAGGAGCTCAGCTGAGCCCCACTTCAGGCAAGAGCTGCTTTCTATCACAGCGGCTTTGAGCAGTGGCAGTGATATGAGGATGGGCTCCTCCTGACGAGCCTTGCTGTCAGAAAGAACCTGTCTAGGACATGGGTCTCAGCCTGCGTTCTGGAAATCACTGGTGGTTTGTGTTGCTGGGAATTGCATCCTTATTAGTTTCTACTCCTGGGTATACTCCCTAAAGGGAGTTTTTAACCACAAGTCCACAAACCACCCCCACAGGTCCCTAGACAGAATTCAGGAGGTTCCTAGACTTAAATGTGGGGAGAAAAATTACATTTTTATTCATTTTAACTTCTAACTGAAATGAGCGTTGCTCTCGTGTATGAATGCCAGCCACAGGCCAGACTTGCCATAACAATCTGTGGCCCTGTTATCAATAGAAATCCCAGGTATTTTCATGCCACTTTATAATGGCTCCAAGTTATCTGAAGGTATCATTTATGCTGATCACGACCTTGAAATTATGGTAATTGTTAAACCTGCCAAATCATCTTTTTCTAATTGCATTAATAAAACAGCACGTATATTACTTTGTCATAAATTTGTGTGTTTTTTTAAAACATTTTGATAACTATGTTTCAATGTAATCGGCTTCCTGGGTAATCTCATGCATTTTGCTTTATGCATATGAAATTCTGAGAATGAGTCCATAAAACTTCACGAGACTGCCCTGTGTGAGGGCCACATCATAAAAAAGGTTAAGAACCCCCTCGAGAGACTTTATTCTTTCGAGTGGTTCATAGATGAGTGTTTATGAAAGCAAACTTGAACAACTTACATGTCAGTTATAAGTACAATGGATAAATGAATAGTGGCCTTTTGTTTTGGAATACAACACAGTGGTAAATAGAAACACACCAGAACATTCATGCAGCCACATGGGTGAGTCTCTAAAATGATAGGGTAGCACCAAACAGTACCTCATGGGTGAATGGTACAATTTCACTTACAGGCTTTCAAAAGCAGGCATAATGGCATAACATTTTGTTTAGGGATAGCTTTATGCGGCAAAATGGTCAAGAGCAGAAGGGAGTGGTGCGTACAGCCTACAGGATAGTGGTGTACCCTGGTGGGGGTGTGGACCAGTAGCGAGAAGGAGGACGGACTTGGGGAGGGACATACGGGACTTCAGTGGTATACGTCACCTTCTGGGTGGACGTCATTTTCTTTCCGTTTTATTGTTACGCTTTCAACGGTGCAGACATGGTATGTATCTTACTCTTGTAAGAGCTCTTTTTCAAGTAACAGAGTGACTGTGGCATGCCTCATTCACTTGGTGGTTTGATTTCCCCTTATTTGTTGACATCCTTACAGGGCATAGACGAGGGCCCTGAGGGGCTGAAGCTCATTTCCGACATCATCCGGGAGAAGATGGGCATTGACGTCAGCGTGCTCATGGGAGCCAACATTGCCAGTGAAGTGGCTGCAGAGAAGTTTTGTGAGACCACCATCGGTGAGGTTGGCTGGGTGGGGAGCCTTGGGAGCCCGGACATTCACTGTTTTAAAAGCACATTTGCCATTTCTGGTATCTTCTGTAGTGGACTCTTCCTCAGGTAGATATTCAGTGGGGTGGGGATTTAATGTAAGGAAGTCAACAGCCCCCAGAATCAAAGTAAAGGCAAGGAGACCATTTGGACCTCCCATGAGCCGATAATGAATTATCAAGGTTAAACACAAAAAATGCAAAGTGGCTTATACTGAGAAGCAGGTGATGACATCCATGTAGGGGCTGCCCTGGCCTTAGAAAACCCAGATTTATTTATTTATTTTTTTACTCACAAATGCCAGTATCTGGATCCTCATTGGATTCCAGTGCTATCTAAAAATTGGAATGATAAAAATTGGTGGGAATGATCCCTGTTTTCAGGTGAATAATCCAAAACTCAGTGAATAAGTTACCTGCCCCAAGGTCACATAGCCAATTTAGAACTCAGGCATGAACTTGGCCATCTTGTTTCCTAAATTAGAAAGCTCTTTCTACTCTTACACAACATTGGTATTGTGAAGATTTCCGCTTCTTTTAAAAAGGGCTTTGAAATTCTCATGTGCCCATGTACCATATTAAAATACTGATAGAAAAGTAATATTGCTGTCTTTGCACATGCTTTGCAAAAGTTTGAGTTTATTTACCACCTTACTTCCACCCTTGTCAAACATAGCAGCAATGTGCATGATTTCTCCTTGCAGCTTTGTAAAAGGAAGCTCTCAGAGAAGTCAGGCTCTTTTCAGGAAGATAGAATGCATGGGAAAAGGTAGCTCCTGACTTTCATACACGCCTGCAAGTTAGGACATTTTTACTTCTTTTGCTTATTTCTCTTTTTCTTTTAATTACATAGATATTGTGGAAAATAGGGATGATCAAAAGAAAACCATTTCTTACATTTAATTTCCATTTTTTTCTTTGTGTGCAAACTATTAATGTACGTTTATATAAGTTACATACTGTTTTATAATTGCTTTATTTACTTAATATATAACAACTTTCGAAGTCTGTCAACATCTTCATAGCTGGATAGTATTCCATCAACAATCCCATATATCTGGGCACTTAAAACTTTTTTTTGTTTTGTTTTGAGAAATACTATCTGTGGAGAACAGAGGTATCACAAATAATATAATGAAGAAAACAAAATGGACTATAGTCAACCCAGGTTGATATTTATAAAAATGATACATATAGACACAGGTAAGAAAATTCAAACAGTATGAGAATTAAGATTGTGACTTCTCGACCTTGGGAAGATGGTGGAGCAGGAGGACCCTGAGCTCACCCTGTCCCACATGTACAACTAGATACCATCCACATCCAAGTCAGTAAACCGGAGAGGGATCCAAAGATGGGCAGAACGAACTTCACAGCGAAATAGAAGAAGCTGCATCTGACAGGTTAGGAAGGTCAGAAAGGCGGAGGGAGGCTGCCCACAGGAGGGAGGGAGCTGTGTGCATGAAGAGGGCAGAGAAACGAGCTGTCGTACCAGGGAGCTCACATGGAAACACTAATCCCCATAACATCTGGCTTCAAGAACCAGAGGGGCTGAATTCCGTGAGTTTGTAAGAACAAGTGAGACTCGATCCTGGCACTTTGGAGGTCAGCTGACTCAGCACTGGGCGAGCCTGGAAGGTGAGTGAGAGCTGGGTTGCTACCCTTAAAGAGATAGCAGCCTGAGTGGAGAGGCAACGTAAAAATAGCAGTTTACACAATGCTGGGGGCAGACAGGAGACAGATCTGATCATATTGATTTTGGAGCATGTTGGGGGACTTCTCTGAAAATGAGGGCTCTGACAGGCGCCATTTTTTGCCTCCACCCCCAACATAAACACAGAGCTACAGGTGAAAGGCAGGGCTGCACAGATACTGTAGCCTCTGCCCCAGGGCTCAGGGCAAATTAAAGTGTGTGCGCTGCCCAGCCACCGGGTGCATAGCTGTCTCCTCACGTAGCCCCCAGCCACCACACCGTGCTCAGCTGCATGCCCCCGGATACCATCACATACCATGCCATGTGCCCCCAGCCACCATTACACACTGGGCCCAGCTACACCCAACCATCATCACACGCTTTGCCCAGCCTCACGCCCCCGGCCACCCCTGTGGGCAGCTCCCAGCCACGGTGGCACTTCGGGGGATCTGGCATAGGACTAGAGACGCAAGACAAATTTTGCTAACACCACCACCCCGCTCCCAAGTTCCCCAGTGGGTATGTCCCCTCAGAGCTGGCCTGACTGGGCCCCACTAACACCAGAGAGAGCAAGCACAGCCCACAACAGGCAGAGAATCAGTGCCGACAACTGCACGGAAAGGAAAAGTGACTCAGACATGACAGCAAGACATAAGCAACACATACAGGATGCTCTCCTGAAGTGCCAGGTTCTGGTGAACAGGGGATATGCACTGCAGGGACTCCAGAACCTCCTCTGCATAAAGTCACTGCATGCAATGGAGAAGACACAGCTGACTTTCTTTACGCACAGAGAAAGGCAGACAGAGAGAGGCAGACAAACTGAGGAGACAGAGAAATGAAATGAAAATGAAAGAAGAGGACAAGGCCACGGCCAGAGATTAAGCAAAATAGTACAAGTAACTTGCCTGATAGAGAATTTAGAGCAGTGATCATAAGGATCCTCACTGGACTTGAGAAGAGTGGAAGACATGAATGAGATGCTTAATGCAGTGATAAGGAATAACAGCAGAGATAAAGGGCTCAATAAATGAAATGGGAAACATGCCTGATGGAATGAGCAGCAGGATGGAAGAAACAGAGGAACGAATTAGTGACCTGGAAATGGAAAGTATTCAAGATGAACAAAAGAAAGAAAAAAGAATTATGCAAAAGGAGAATAGACTTAGAGAACTCAGTGACTCCGTTAAATATAATAACATTCGTATTATAGGAGTCTCAGAAGAAGAGAGAGAAAAGGGGGCAGAAATTTTATTTGAAGAAATAATGGCTAAAAACTTTCCTAATCTAGGGGAAGGAAACAGATATCCAAATCCAGAAGGCACTGAGAACCCCCATCAAAATCAACAAAAGCAGGGGTGCTTGGGTGGCAGTTAAGTGTCTGACTCTTGGTTTTGGCTCAGGTTATGATCTCAGTGTCATGAGATCAAGCCCTGCATCTGGCTCTTTGCTCAGTGCAGAGTCTGTTTGAGATTCTCTCTCTCCTTCTCCCTCTGCCCCTCCCCCCACTCACTCACTCTCCTCTCTCTCTCTCTAAAACAAATAATCTTTTTTAAAAAATCAACAAAAGCAGATCCACACCAAAACATATTGTGATTAAATTTGCAAAATAAGTGATAAAAAAAATCTTAAAAGCAGCAAGATAAAAGAAGTCAGTAACTTACAAGGGAAAACGCATAAGGCTAACAGAAAATTTTCAACAGAAACTTGGCAAGCCAGAAGGGAGTGGCATGATATATTCAAAGTGCTAAATGGGAAAAATCTGCAGCCAAGAATATTCTATCCAGCAAGGCTGTCACTCAGACTGGAAGGAGAGATAAACAGTTTCCCAAACAAAAAAAACTAAAACTAAAGGAGTTTGTGACCACTAAACCAGCCTTGCAAGAAATATTAAAGGGGACCCTTTGAGTGGAAAAAAGAGACCAAAAGTGTCAGTATAAAGGGAGGAAACACAAAAGCAGGAAAAATGAACATTTCTGTAAAAAATCAGTCAAGGAACTCAAGAAAAAAAAGGATATAAAATATAGTAACATACCTAAAACATAGGGAGAAGAGGAGAAAAGAATATGTTCAAACTTAAACAACTGTCAACATAATATAGACTGCTATATGCAGAAGAGGCTATATACAAGCCTGATGGTAACCATATATCAAAACCACTAATAAATATGGAAAGAATAAAGAGAAAGAAATCCAAATATATCATTGAGGAAAATCAGCAAAACATGAAAGAAAGACAATAAAGGATCAGAGAAAATCTTCAGAAACAACCACAAAACAAGTAATAAAGTAGCAATAAATACATATCTGTTATTACTTTGGATGTAAATGGACTAAATGCTCCAATCAAAAGTCATAGGGTATCAGAATGGATTAAAAAAAAAAAAAGACCCATGTATATGCTGCCTACAAAAGACTCATTTTAGACTTAAAGACACCTGCAGATTGAAAGTGAGGGGATGGAGAATCATGTATCCTGCAAATGGATGTCAGAAGAAAGCTGGAGTAGCAATACTTATATCAGACAAAATAGACTTTAAAACAAAGACTGTAAGAAGAGACAAAGAAGGGCATTATAATCTTAAAGGGGACAATCCAACAAGAAGATATAGCAATTGTAATTATTTAGGCACCCAACATAGGAGCACCCAAATATATAAAACAGTTAATAACAATCACAAAGGAAATAATAATAATACAGTAATAGTAGGGGACTTTAACACCCCTACTTACATCAATGGACAGATCATCTAAACAAAATCAACAAGGAAACAATGGCTTTGAATGACACACTGGAACAGATGGATTTAACAGATATATTCAGAACATCCCATCCTAAGACAGCAAAATACACATTCCATTCAAGTACACATGGAGCATTCTCTAGAATAGATCACATATTAGCCCATAAAACAGGCCTCAACAAATAGAAGATTAAGTCATACCATGTACCTTTTCTGACCACAACACTATGAAACTAGAAGTCAACCACAAGAAAAAATATGGAAAGACCACAAATACATGGAGGTTAAATAACATGCTACTAAATAATGAATGGGTACACCAGGAAATCAAAGAAGAAATAAAAAGATACATGGATACAAATGAAAATGAAAACAAAATAGTCCAAAACCTTTGGGATGCAGCAAAAACGGTCTTAAAAGGGAAGTAAATAGCAATACAGGCCCAGCTTAAGAAGCAAGAAAAATCTCAAATAAACAACATAAACTTACACCTAAAGGATCTAGAAAAAGAACAACCAACAAAACCTAAAACC